ATCCTTATCCCTTCTGTTGGGATCAACGACGAATACTCTCCCACAGACTGACTTTAAAAATAAAGTTAAAAAGTACACCTCCAGTCTGTGGGAGACCCATTGTAAAAAACAAACAAATAACAAACTTCACAACATTAAACCCAAACTGGGATCGCAAAATCCTTCGGGCCTCTCCAGAAGAGACGAAGTCATTTTTACTCGATTGCGCATCGGACACACGGCCCTGACCCACAAATACCTCCTTCGAGGAGATGAGAAGCCGTTCTGGGTCGTATGCGACACATATTTTACCATTAGACACATTTTAACCGAATGTCTAGACTTTGGTGAGACCGGAAGGAAATATTATAAATGCAAAAAAAAATATGAGATATTTTTTCCGTCGTTGTTCCCAATAAAATTTTAGATTTTATGAAGGCCAATGGCTTTTATGGAAAGTTATAAAATAGATTGTTTAAAATTTTAAAGTGTTATTTAGAAAGTTGTTTTAAATTTTAAATCTATTTATCGATTTTTTTTTGCGTTAAAAAATTTTTATTTAGTAATATTGACCAGAATCAGGCCGAGCAATGAGTTATTGAGAAAAAAACAACTAGTTTCGCGCGCTCATATGACTTTAAGCTGTTGCGAGCGCCGTAAAACCCTGTACTAAACTAAAACATGAGCTGCACTTAATCTTCTTCTGGATCTTCCGACGTATGAAGCCAGCAATGTAATGAAGCACATGGTTGTGATAGAGGCCAGGAGGCATATAAGTAAATTCACCTTGTCAAGGTGTGGACTTTCTGACTCCAGCCTCTCTCTCGATCCACTCTCTATATGGAAAGACTCCTCTTCCCTGATTTTTGGTGTCGCATCTGAAGCTACTGCATCCTCAATGAGTGTGTTGTTTACCTCTGGGATTGCTCTGTTGTTGGCATTAGCAGAGGAGCCAAGTCCATTTCTGTGCAGCAATGCCCTCACAGCCCACTGAAGTTGGAGGGCATTGGGGTTGTTGTTGCCTTCATGTCTTCTAATTTTACTAAAGTATGTCTTCAGGTGGTCTTGAGAAAGACGGAAGGGCAACACAAATCTGTATCCTGAATTGAAAAGTAAGTCACGACTCAAACCTATCACACACTTCAAGGTGGCAATAAAGCCAAGAAATCCTGCCTTCCTTTGCCCTGTAAGGATGTAGTTGCCATTTGCATTCCATATGGCTCTTTTCGTCTATGCAGACGGTCAATCTAGCTTAAGATGGTCTCAAGGTTGTCTTCATGCTGCTTCTTTCATGGTTAATTCTTCCTATGTTTGAAGGGCAGATTCTGTCGCAGTGCTTGCATGTCAGTGTCATAGATCGAAGCTCTGTATTTCCGCATTACAGATCTATGAAATACAAGCCATGGCATTGTTCACCAACTCGCACCTCTCTTCAAAGTTTTTCCTACAAATTGAGGATTTTAGTCCCTTTCCGAGACAGTTGCTTGCATTGCAGATGTCGAAAAGGCTGTCAAAGGTCCTGATGAATAATGTTGTGGCATCACTCCCAGCGAATTCTGGAACATGCATTTCATCTCTTAGGTAGTCTATGGCATTAGCTACTGAAGAGCTTAACGCTTGAGCGGCCACACTCACCTTCATTGTATTTTTCACCTAGTCGATGTGCTTGGCTCTTTGCTTGTTTGCCAGAAACAAATTGTGTTTTGACTGTAGCTTATGAAGCTGGCAAATGAATATTCCCACCTCACATCCTGATTGTCAACTTTTAGAACCTTTCGGTCACCAAGACAATTTCGAACATTCTTCAGCAGGTAAGCTGCATCAAACAAGAAATAGATGTTCCTGTTCACGTTGGTTGGATCGTGGAATGTGGGGTTCACCTCTGTGGATGTGATGATAAAACCCAATTTTGTTGCCGTGGCTTGATTAGATGGGGCGCTATCACAAACCTCAGCCCTTATTGTGAAGCCAGCCTCTGACAGCAGAGTAACTGAATCCTTCACAATCTGGTTCGCTGTTGAGCAGTGATTTTGTCTACCAGGAAGTAGGCAACTGGGTATTTAAAAGACTTCTTCATACCCACTGCCATGAAAACCAGTGCCTCAGTTGCTAGTTCCTCCTCACTGGCTGGCTGTAAGTAGCCATGGTTTACACAGCCTATGTATTCTCCCTTGCTTTGCACATACACTGACTCCTTCCTGATGCCCATTGAGTCAAAAATGAGTAACACATCCTTCATGTCTGACTCATCTTTTAAACGCTCAGCCATGAAACACAACACGCCTTGGAGGTATCCTGGCTCTACGTTGTAAGATGGCGCCCACCTCCAGATTGATGCCGCCTGGGGAAAGATACAGGAATGTGCAAAGATACTCGTATGCAGCAGCACTGTAATAGTGCAGTGTTACAGCGAACACTTTTATTTCATCTGAATACCACAGCTGAGACTTGAGCTTCCCCTGTTGTGCCAACTCATTCTCAATGAGCAAGAATGTGTTTTCCGGAAAATTGTCCTTCTGGATTTCACAGTGTTGCTCGTTTAGAAGCTTGAGCTCCTGCAGCTTCTCCAGAAGTGTCGAGATCTTTTTAGACTCCCTTCTCTTCAATTTTTCACTGAGTAATTTCACCTCCCTGTTCTTTTCCTTTAGTTTGTTACATGTCTCTTTCCATTTCTTCTGGAGCTGTTGGACTTTGACTTCAGCAGAAGGCGAGTGATATGTGTGGTCCAGCCCAACAGACACTGTAGTGGTTGCAGTTGGACGTTTTGGGGCTGGTTCTTCTCGTAATAGAAGCTTGCGTTTCTTTGGGGATGGACGTTTCTTGTCAGCTTGTTGCTTGTGAGCTGGATAGACTGGAAACTTAGATTTCTTTCTTTTCCATCCACATAATCTGTTGACAGAAAGTGTTCACAGCCTAATACTTTTTCATTTTTCTTTGGCATCCAAGGTTTGCCATCAGGTTCAGCTCTGATCCATTTTTGCCTCAGTTCAGCATCTTTGGTGGGATGGGGGGAGCTGAGCAAAAGAATGGGGAAAAAAATAAAAAACACAATTCAACAATGTTAGTGTTATAACTCTCTGTTATTCTTTGGGAAGGGGATTTGAGGCCGACATAATTACATGTCGATAAGTAAAATACAAAGCCAAAGTGGAAAAAACAAGGGCAGGTCAGCGGTTAATACACATCACTATTTTTAAGAACCATACTTGACTGCAATTTTTTTTTTTTTACGCTTCAGTTTCTTGTCAATATCAGCAAAGAGTTTAAGTTTCATCTCACTCAAAATTAAGGTTTTTGCGTTTCATGGTCATGGCGAAACAGGAAGGTAGTAGGCTTGGAATAAACCTCTTTAATGTGGTGCTGTAATAGCAACAGAATAGGCCTAAAATCGTGTGCTGGGACAGAGCAGTGAACGTGTTGACCTTCTGAAACGTGTGGCGAGAGAATGAAAGTGAAGCTGAGACGTAGGCTCTCACAACTACACACTGATACAAGGGGGAAGGGGGGGGGGTGAGGGGTTAGGAGTACCCTACAAAGACTGAGCAGCACGAGGGGCACACTGCACACCTGCACAACCTTTATTGACATCCTTGTAAGGGCTGTTTATTACTTTATGACCGCTTGCTGGGGCTGGAAGCTGGAAAGGCGAGGCACTGAGCAGTGAGACCGCCTCGGGAGGAGGGGGGGGTAGGGAGGTATGCCCACAGCACAAGACGCACATGTCTCCGAGGCACTGTCTCTATGTACTGTGCAGGGGGTAAGACTACACTGCTTTACATGACCTACCAAAGCCTGGTGTTTTGATATTAAGTACATGTACTTGGTGGGTATGCGGACTAATGAAGAACTTTTGTGTTGACCGTTAGTGCGACATTTTCCCCCAAGGGAAGAGTCAAAGCAATGTTCATCAGTAAAATCAATGTTGTTGAACGTGTAGACTCTAACTTTGTTATGGACTGGGATGCTTTCAAACTGATTTGATCATCACTTTAATAGCTTTGGACATTTAAAGTAGTCTGGTATTCATACTCAGAGTGGGAGCTGGAAAGGGACACTTACTAGATATAGAGTCTAGATAGATCTTGGCTTTCTTTGTCTTTGTGTTGTTGGTGTCTTCCCTAGGCTCTAGACTTTTTTCACTTATTTCTTCACTTTCTTCATTCATTTTATTCCCATAAATTTTATAATATAAAAGGCTTTAACAAAGGAATCCTTACCTGTGAAATGAAACTGAACATCCCTTGAAACTTCTGTTGTTGCAAAAGACAACACAGCAATTTTGAACCATCATGTAGATCTAACGAAATCCTGCTAATAACGCTCAAACCTTGCTCTCTCTCTGCTTGCCCAACTGTTTTGACAGGGGGCAGCCATCTTTTGTGTATGTCGAAAGTCACGTGATACGCAGTCTCGGCTAATAATAGGTCTATGCTCAACACCTTTTATGTCCCTTTAAAAACCAATTTCAGTGAAGATTTTACTGAAAACTGTTAATTAAAGTCAGTTTCTATGGACTCTGAAGCTAAGGACGTCACCAAACTTTGGCAGCCATTATCTCCCTAATTTTACCTTTGAACCAGGCGACCTCCACCTCCTTCGATCAAAAATATCTCAACTTCTATTCAAGATTGATTGGGTTTGTTTTTTTCATTGAAAGCAAGGCAAATAAACGAACTTTAAGATGAAACCAATAACTCCACATGCCCAAAAATTGACGAGCACCTGATTCCACTGCGTTGTGACATACATACTGTGTGGCTGTGGTGTGTAATTTTTTAGTGTGTTCTGAAGTATGTTGCTACGGTCATTGGAGTTACTGCTGTCATGGTGTGGTTTGAGTGTGTAACTGTGGTGTGTAATTTTGTGTGTGTTCTGAAGCATGTTTCTGAGGTCATCAATCAGGGTAACTGCGATTGTTGTATGATGTGTATTTTAATCAGGGAGTATGAGTATGAACTGTATATATTGATAAATGTCCACTTATGACTGAGATATTTACCAGTTTTTTACGATATCAACAGAGGGACGACAGAAGGATCAGCCTGATTTTCCCCTGTCATCACCAGTTTGGCACTGCATGTCTTGATCACCTCAAGTCATATGTTTGAATTTCTAGGTCAAATCAACTGACTCAGATGGAAATAACTCTTAAGATGACAAAACTGCACATGAACATATAGATGCTGTTATGCTTTCATTATGTAATGGGAAGAGATACATCAACTCCCTTTTTTGTGCCGATAGTTGGAAGGCGCCACTGGTAGGTCCTACTTCTTTATTTTCTGTGTTGTTTCTGTCCATCTGTTTTTTCTTTTTTCCGGCATTAAATGACCATTATTGTGTCAATATGCTTCTCTTTCCTCGAACAAATGAGTATCTTTTTGTTGTTGCCCTCTAACCTTTGCTAAGGTCAATCTGCTGCTCCACAGTAAAAGCCAGGAGTCAGCATGCACTATAAATGGTGTCAAAAGTACTATTGGCTAACTTTTGCGTCTTCTGGCATCATTTGAATCAGAAGGTGCTTCAGACGTGTAAGTGTTTCGGCAATTTCAATTTTGACTCCCGAGTAAAAAAAATGTTTCCCTGGCCGGTTGTTTCCAACCAAACGTCTCTGGCCGGCAGAAATTGTCATGGAAAATGGGGGAGCATGCCCCTGGACCCCTTAGTTAAGCCTTGTGCGTGCGGCGCTCTGAGGGCCACTTACACGCCTTCCTCTTCCTTTCTCTGTCTTAAAACATTTTTGAAAAGCCAGTAGTACTTTTACCGTACAACACCATTGATATATTTGTTATATAACTGAAGGCTGGTATCTTTGTTCATCGTGTGGGTCTGCTTGACACATGTGTGTTTGTTGTGTGGTTGAGACGAGCTTATGAGCTCAACCTGAGCATTTGAGACTTTAGAAAATGGAAAAGAAAAAAAAAGTTGCTTATCTTTTAAAATGATACTGAAGTGTGAGAAAATTAAACATTAAACTCACTTGTCTAGAATCAAGAATCTTTTGTGTTATTTGTGTGTGGGGGGGGGTGTTCTTTAGTTCAGAAAAAGGTGAAATGGAAAGTTATCACAGAAGTCCCCTGGGAATTGGACAAATTTTGTATACAGCCAAACTACGTAATACCGCCTACCTTGGGATGAGCATAAAGTTGGCAGTACTGCAGGGCTGGCAGTACAACGGGATACCACAGTCTGCCATCCTGACTAGTGACACTAGTGGTGGACTGGTAGAAACTGGAGACAAACTGTGGCCAGTCTTGGAGACTAATCTTGATCTGTCTTTTAAGATTGCCATGCGCAGGGAACAAAAAGTAGCAGCAACCAATTACATGTGCCAGCTGACCAGAAAAAAAAGTTTGTTCAAAGAAATGTTGATTAAATAACCTTCTTGTTATGACACAATTATCATCAAAATTGACTGAAAGCTAGAACGTACATCCAGATTATGTTATGTATTTAAAAAGTTCATTGCTATTGTACAACGGAAAAGATGATAAAACAGTTCACCCCTGTACTTCGTGCTTTTGCAGTGAATAGTGAAGATGTATCGGCAAACAAAATCACCCAAATCTGCTTATGCATTATTTGCTAGGGCATACGGGATAGATATTATATATATAAGTAACAAACATAATGTTCCAACTTCCAAGCAAAAGGTCCATTTTAAAATGGGCTGCTAATTTTGAACGGTTTGGGTCCATAGATTTAATAGAAGAACAGAACTCGAATTCTAAGCCCAGAGTAACATATGGTAGGCTGCTTGTAAAAACAGCGCTCTCTTGAAAACGTTAGGGTTGTCCGTGATTCGGTATCGTCTTACGGATACCTCGTCATCCTACCAAAACCTTTGTTGACGATGAAGGGGGACAGAACCAGAACTTTCAGGAAGACGTGGTGGCTCGCCATGACGCCAGAGCAGTTTTGCGATGGATCAGCAACCAATTTGGTCTCAGAACAGTCAGTCCGACTGGGCACAACTGGACTCCAAACGATCCGGACCTGAGTCCACTGGACTTTAAATATTTGATATGTTTGAGGGGCAAGGTGGTTGGGGAAAATCTTCGAAAGTATCCAAGATTTGAGAGAAACCATCACGGAGGGCTCGAAAGAGTTTCCCCCGAGCAGTGTCAACGCCTGCTTGTCAATTTAACTCCGCACACAGGATGTGCTTTACTCGAATTTGGGGGTATCTGGAAGATATCTTGCAACTTTGTAGTTGATATATAACTATTTCATTGTTATTAAAATAGAATAAACCCGGATGGATGTACCAAGTTCATGCAAATTTTGGTGCTTGTAACTTATCAATTTAACAACGGTTTTAATGACTTTCTTTTGGGCTATTTTTTTCTGGTCTTCTGGTTCAGCTCTAGCTAAACTTTAATTAAATTCAAATAGAAAGAAGCTAGGCTGTATGTGCCAAGTACCCTGTAGACGTACGGCTGTTGTTTTTTTAAACCAATATTCGCCCGTCATTGAGACGCTTTGACTTTAGGCCTGTTGTGTAGATTTGAGCGTGAATCACCACAATCTCAGGCGCCTGCGACTGCCAGCCTTTAGGTCATTGGGCTGATATTTGGCGACGCCGAATTGCCCGGCGCAGCTCCTTTGGAGTTTCTCAAGATGACTTAAAAAACTTCATTCCAATTTTTAAAAACCCAAGAAATCAGCGCAACTCAAGAGAAAATCGGCAAGCGCCTAGAATTGTCCAGGTTTGCAAAGACGTGTGTTGGAAAGATTATCAAGCAGCCAATTTGTGGGTGTAGTGTGTACCTCTGATGGCCAGTTCGCCGACAGTACTGTGGGGAAAATTACCATTACTTTTTTTTTATAAGAACGGTACAACTAAGATAGGCCTAGTTGGTGGGATGGCGGTGTGAGGATGCAAATATTGTATACTCACCGGCAAAAGTAATGCGAATTCACATGACACAAGAAGAGGAGAGCAAATTTAAGCAACATGTTTATTTAGAGAAACAGGTTTGAGGTGTCTCAAATTACGCAAACAATGCTTGAGAGTTGAGGAGTTGCTTGGGGACATATTTTGTTATTTGGCATCATTGACCTTGACCTTGGGGCTTAAGTTCCTGTCAGTATCTGGTACGGTCCCCATTAGTGTTGATGTGGTGAGCGACACAGCTCTTATTGTCTCCGAATGACAATACAGCTTTGTTATTACATGTTATGTACGTATGTACTGGTCTGAAAGATCCTGTTGGATTCTTCTGGGATCGAACCTGAGGTTTTCGGAAAACGGAAGGATTATTTCCTACAATTTCACCACACTAATTCTTTATCCCTTTAGTCCATCTCTTTCTCTGTTGTCTGTTTCCAGAACCCTCCCCCGGTCCCCAATTTCGCTGACAGGCTATTACTATTACTATTGATGAGATTTGCGTCTGTTCCTTTCGGTTATTTTTGTATAGGCTATCTATCCGTCCAAAGTTTATTAGGCCATTAAAACCGTACGATGAAATACTATCTCTTTTTGACTCCCCCCCCCCTCTCTCTCTCCCTCCCCCCTCTCTCTCTCTCTCTCTCTCTCTCTCTCTCTCTCTCTCTCTCTCTCTCTCTCTCTCTCTCTCTCTCTCTCTCTCTCTGCCTGAGCTTTTTGCTGCAATACTATAATTAATGTGTACTTGACAGTATCGCTTGATTTGATTGATGGTGTATTGCCATTCATACGTGTACAATGAACTTCTTTCCTTTCCCTCCGTTACTTTTATCCCACATTTTCCTCTGTGATGAAAGCAAAAGCCCGCCATTGCTTGTAGTAGGTGTCTCTTGAACGCATGGTAGTGCATGTATCTGAATAGGGAAGTAAAACATTTTAAAAGAAGGAGCAAATGTTAAACAAGTTCGATTTACACTGACACAGACAGCAAGATGAACCGCGCTGATAAAAATACAAAGAATTACAACAAATAAATAATTTCCATAAAAATGAATCCAATTCAGAAAAATAGAAAAAGGTCTATCTCAGACTCGGTAGAGACAATAGATAAAGATAGGGGTTTTTTAAAGTATAGGCATTAAAATTAATTGTATTATGGTCAACCCTTCTATACCGTTGTGAATGTTGGACAAGTACAATAAATAAAAATTGTGCAAATAAAGTTGAGACAACAGAAATCACGCGAAGAAAAGAAATTAGAAGAAGCAATCCTGAAAGAAGCTCGGGTGGGTCACTCACTAATTTAAAAAATAACTAAGAGATCCAGAGAAGATCAACGAAGTTCCCAATCATGGATATCATGCTCTCGTAAAAAAATATAGAAAAGACAGGCGAGACAAAAGTACGTGAGGTGTTTTCCAGAAGAAAATTTCCCTGTACGGTACTCTAATTTACTCTAAAATATTTATTTTTTTTAAATTTAAAATTTGTACGAGGGGGTTCAATAAGTCTTTGGTCCGGGTATGAAGGAATTATGGTAGAGAAATGAATTTCGCCAGCCTTTAGATCTAGACAATTTCTTTGGAACACCAATGCACATTTTCGAGAAAATCCGACAATAATACGACACCAGTCAGCGTGTTCAATGACACTATGCACACACAAAAAATCGTTTTTCTTTGCGGAAGCTGTACCATGGAGCCTGTTGAATATCGCTCATTTATCAAGTTTTCACTTTTTTAAAGGAAAATCCCCATTGAACATTTTTTCGGGAAATGGTCCAAGTTGATGGTGACAATATCCTCGTTATAATACTTAATACTGTGACATTCTGGGTAAGAAAATTCTAATCTGGATTCATGTCGGTGATGGATGAAGATCGCGAAGGATGCCCATCCTTTGTGGCAACTGCAGAGAATGTATCCGTAGTGAAGACACTAGTTTTACAAGGCCGACGTATAACTGTTAAACAGTTCTCAAATGAAAGAACAATCAGTGTATGGTCAATTCAAACGATTCTCCATGACCATCTTAACATGAATAAGGTGTCTGCGAGGAGGGCACCCCACCTTTTGACAAGTGAGCAAAAGAAGCACAGTGTTGAGTCCTGAAAAACTCCCATTCGAATTGAGTCCGCGGACAAACATTTCTTTAAAAACATAGTGACTATGGATGAAACATGGATTTATCATTTTGATCCAGAACAAAAAAATGTCCTCCATGCAATGGAAAACCCCTTCTTCTCCCTCACCAAAGAAGGCAAAGATAACTCCGTCAAGTGGAAAGGTCATGCTGTCGTGTTTCTGGGATTGTGAAGGTATCATCATGACTGAGTACCAGGAAAATGGAAAAACAGTCATGGGAGACTACTACTCGGGTTTGCTGATACAACTGCGGTCAGAATTGGGGAGAAAAAGGCGTGGAAAAACTCCGCCATGAGGTCCTCCTACTCTCCTATTGCATGATAACGCCCCTGCGCACAAGGCACAAGCAGCTCAGACAGCAGAACAATGAGGCTTTGAAATCCTGCCACACCCAGCTTGTTCACTAGCCCTAGCCCCCTCTGACATTTTTATGTTTCCTAATCTTAAAAAATTCACTCAAGGAACGTCGTTTCCACGACAACGAGGGCGCCATTGAAGCTTTTGAAGACTGGTTAGGGGCCCAATTTGGGTTAGTTTTCTCTCAAGGACTTCTGAAGGTCAAATAGAGGTGGCAGAAATGCGTTACTTTGCATTGTGACTGTAGATACACAAAAATATGTGTGCCGAATTACAAAGTTCTATCCTTTATTTCTTCATAATATAATTTAGACTAAAGACTTCTTGAACCCCCCTCATCAAAAACCATGTAAGTGGTTTGGTTTTATTTCTTTGGGGGGGGGGGGGGGGGGGGGAGGGTGTGTGCAGTGCAGTGTTCGACGATATGTTTCAGATCTAGCTCTTGTACTTGTAGTTTTTTCTCATTACTCAGGCAAACCTCTCAAATGATCTGGCTGGGACGAAATAGATGTAAAACGTGCTTAACTTAAACATGAAATCCTTTTTTCATCATAATTATGCAGTGACACAGTCTTTTTGCTCTTCTTTCATTTTCACTTTTTCCGTTTTCCTATGTTCTTCTCCTGACCCTTTCTTCCTGGCCTATTTGATTTAAAATTTATGTGAAGCAAAATATGAACACTTCAGTGTTGTGAGTGTCAGCATTTGGTCAAGCTTTTCTTTGTTTGTGGGGAACCTGTTTTTATTATTACCGGTATTATTGTTAGTGTCAGTGCCTATTCGCACATTTGTATGCAAAACTAACTGACAATAAATCGTCGGGCTGTCAGTTATTGCCACCACACAGGGAAATAGAAATTACTGCTTTTTTTCACAAACGTCAGCAACAGGTCAGACTGTCAATAATTGGATGACCAGATTACAGGTTATTGTCATGTTAACTGCGAAGAAATGTGGTATAAAAGACCCAGACTGCCCTCTGGTCTCTTGTCTCACTGTCCACGTTCCATAATCAACCTCGTAGTTGTTGGGAATCTTTTTCGGAGATAACTAAACAAGTATGAAAAAACAATGCTTCCTGAAATGTAAGTTGTGTACAATGCATATTCATTAAACAATGCTTCATGAAATGTAAGTTGTATACAATGCATATATTCATATTATTATTAATAATAATATTGTACTGATGTATTTATAGTACAAGTAGGCTTTACTAGTGCTTTCTGAAAATAGGAGGTTTGTGTGGGCGGAAATGTTTTGCTAATAATCAGTCTTTTATAAGTCTTATAAGTCCCCTGTTTCCTTTATTCTAATAAGCAGTAGCTGTGCAGTGTAAGCAAAAATCGCTGTCGCCGCAGAGAGACATGGCAGCTTTATGAGGACGAATTTCCCCGACCGAAAGAAAGCTGGACGATAGATTGGAGAGTGTAAACCGACCACACATTTTGATTTAAAAAAACGGACAGTTCTCGCATGCGACGAATCTGACGCAATTTATTGTTGCGTAAGCCCCGGTTACAAGCAAGGGTAAATTGTGTTAGATTCGTCGTATGCGAGAACTGTAGGTTTTAGCGAGCTGTGTAGTCTGTTTAGACGTTCCAATCGATCGCTAAGTTTTCTTTCGATCAGGGAGAATCCTAACCTTTGACTTGACTGCAACGCACCGGGTGACGGATGACCTTTTAACACAACTTCACTATTGACGATCAACTAAAAATAGAATTGATACATTATACAATAACACGTCAAATCAGGTTCCCCACATGCAACTTTGCTTATTTGAGACGTTGATTCCGAATATGAAATCAGTTTTTACCTGCGATAATCATTTAAAAAAATTTTAGCCTTAAGTTTAATCCTACGCGGCGGAAATTTTAAAGTGATTCTACATCACAGCGCGCTTCCCCCAGATTTGACCGTGATCGCACGGAAAATATCAAGAAGCGCTTGATTTCTCGACCGAGTCTCCAAGCTATCGTCCAATTGTCCAAACTTTGTACAATTTTGTGGTTACACTGTTACACCTGACGATTTATCTCATGATTGATAGAATCGTCCAGTTTTTGTAAATTGATCGTTGCTTGTAACCGGGGCTTAACATGGACTCTTAATTACCGCAAGTAGGCCTATAACCAAAGATTCTCTACTACCAAGATATTGCACTTCTTCTTTGGGCTTTTGTCCACACCGTGGCGGGCCCGCTTTGCCGCTTAGCGCGTGATTGGCTACATCACTAGGCAACGCGAGGTTGGTTTTATCGCCGACTGCTTGGGGTGTGTGGGTACAACTTTGTTTTAGTAGGAAAAGAGGCGGTACAGAATGGTACTGGTACAAACTAAATTTATGGAACGAGAATTGCTGAAGAAAAGAAAACTGAAAATTAACAAACAAAAACTAGTGAAATCCTTAAGTTGATTATTTAAAGCGGCAAGACGTTCACCGATCGAACTCGTGTAGTTTGTTGCCCAGCCGCAACGATGGTTAGACCTATAGTGTCGTAGTTAGTCTAGCACGTTGTCACTGGTCGACATCATATTAATTACAGAATTACTTAACAAATAATGACTTCTGCTATGAGAGTAAATTTCTTCGTTCAACTTAAGAAGTGAACGTGTTGAAGCGACACACCGTCTTGCTTTACAAATTCTTTATGACTTGATGTTACGATCTTTTATAACAATGTCAAGCAGATTCTTGTCCCTTTTGTCCAACATTCAATCGTTTTTGGTTTTGCAACTTATTTTGTGTGCTGTATCGAGAAAACGCGAACATTTTACGGGG